CAGCCCAGCAAAGACAACTCCCAAATACATCTGAATCCTTACTTTGATTCATCAAACACATGATTAACGCATGTATGAATCATCAGCCTGAATAAATGAATAGACGCTTTCATACAAGAGTCATGTTCAGCAAGAGGGAGCAGATGAGGCCAGCCTGGCAGAGAGCATCCTTACATACTGGTTAACAACTGTAATTGTCACTGTGCCTATAGCCTTCGCAGGTCTAATCCACTAGATGCACAGCAGAGGTGATTTCAGCTTTTTTCTGAAGAAAAAGACTTGAGAAGAATGAATTATATGGGGAGCTGTAATGCTGCAGATAGACATCATGTTATTTATTTAGACACGGCTGACATTTGGATTCCGAAGCAGTCTTCTTTATTTTTTAAGTCAGCCTTGAGAGGCATTTCTCCTCTACAGTGCCTTTTGTTTTTGAGCTGCATTTTAAAAATTGTATGATTTTAATGCTGGTCTTGTTTCAAGTGTTCATTAATTATCTAGACTAAGATTCTTTGTTCATTACTATCTCTCTTGTGCATTTAAGTCACAGCAATGGGTCTTTGAAATGGGTTACAAAAAATATATATTTTTATTTTTCAGCTGCTTATTCGTGTAAGTTGCAGTCTGTTTCTGTTTTGTCTAAAACACACAATTGACCTTACAGATTTGCTGTACTCCTCCTCTAGGGAGAAAGAGATGCTGTCAGCTGAATGAATTTTTCACTGGAAACAAATCAATTTAAATTTGGAACCAACAACATTTTAATGCTATAATTTGTCCCTGCATTGCCCAGCTAAGTCTATATATATATTTCTTGTTGAAATGCCGATGGCCATGTGTTGTTCTGCATTTAAAAATTAGCATCGTTCCTTCAGAGCAGTGCTTAGCTACACCCTCAGAGGCATATTTTTGTACACATACTTCATATGGCCTTCCATAGACTGACACCATCTACAGCGGCCTGTTCAGTAACAGAGCTCTCCACATGTCTGTTCACAATGACTCTTGTATCTAAATGTGAGCTCCCACCTCTCATCTGGAAAGTGTGAAGCTAGAGAGGCTCATCTGTATTTTTGTCTAAGTCTCCAAAGTGTTTAATGAGAGTTGGCGGAGGCCTGTGTGGCAGATCAGATGGGCTCCATGCTGTGAGAGACACAGGGAGCTGTGGAGGAGGAGGAGGAGGAGGAGGAGGCTGAGGCTAAAGCCTAAGGCTCAGAGCAGAGCAGATCAACACTTGAGACAGCCAGTAGCCAAACTATGCAAGAGCTTATCTCCATTTCTTTCTTTCCTCTCTCTGCCTTCTCCTTTTCTTTTGTCTCCATCTCTTCATATCCCGCTGTATTCCGCATAAATCTGCAGTCCATCCCTCACCCTTTCATTGACTCTGCCCCAGCACAAGCACAAGCTTGTCGAGTTGTAGTCGGAGCCAACAGTCATGGCAAAATGTCAGATCACGCCAGCATTTCCAACAAAGACAAGCAACCTGTGCCAACAGCAAATAGTTATTCCCCAGTTTTGGAAGTGACACCTGCCCAACACAAATGAGTGGAACTGTTGCTGATGTGTTAGAGAAGAGCAAACAACCTGAAGAGATTTCTAACTAGTGTGAATTATTTAAATATTGTACTGATCCCTCAGGCTTGCCAGAGGAGTCATGAGAATTCTAGTAGATAGAAAATAAACAGACTCTGGGCTGGTGTATTTGTGCACGCGTACTTGTAAGCGTGTACGTGTCGTACACATGCAAGTTAGCACCCATATGTCTACTGTCTGCACTGCAGGCAAATGTCTAATTCTACTTTGGAAGTAAGCATTTGTGTCTCTTTGGGTATTATCAGAGATTTTTCTGGAGACTCCATATTTTATCCAAGGAATAAATAAAGGCTGTGGCTAATAAATGTGACAGAAAAACACATTAGTTCACTGCGAAAAGACAGTGGCCATCTGGTGACAGCCTTGCATCAGCGCTGTTTTTAATCATTCTGTGCCATTTGTTTTGGCTCACCCTCTTCATATGTCATTCTGTCTCATTTCGGTTTGTTCTAGTGGTTTATTTAACATAGGGGAGTAGACTCGGCTTTGTTGTGCTGTTATCTATATTACAACCACTAAGAAAAACCTGATTTGTAACTATATAAAATGTGTCTGATATACAGAGCAAGGTTTAGTTATTAATCTCGGTTGCATCACCCACGTCTGTGGCTGAACTATCAACCCCCTGCCATGTGTCTGTGGTTTTCTGTTAAAAATTTTTTCAATCAGCCTTTGAACACTGGGATAAAGGGTGGTTGCTGTGCACACATGTGTGTTGACAGGACAGTGGGAGCAGAGGGGAGACCTGCTGGTCTCAGTGGTACTTGTCTACCTCCTCGTGTTCCCCTCAAGGACACGGAAACCATAGGTGTCCGATGATCTCAGACTGTGTTCGTCAGCAGCCATTGTCATTTTGAACAGCAAAGCCTCAAACAGGCCCTCCTACCGACGTGTAAAGAATGGTCGGGTTCCTTTTGCTTCTCCCCTTGACAACATGTCCAAATGGGGGCTTGCCACTGGGCCATTGTATTACTGTCCCTCCTCAGAGACCTGCCTGACCCAAAACCTGTGGTGCTGCATGATTGAAAATCAGCTGTGGTGCCTTTTGCAATAGCACTAACAATCTCTTTCTGGGGATTTGATAAGGAAAACTGCAGCTGTGGATAACAAATTCCTTATGTGGATTATAAAAAAGTAAAAGGATGAGGTTTGGTTTGGATTTCCACGTTGAATCTGAAAAAAAGGAAATCAAGGGAAGTGTCAATTGTCTTCCTTCACTGCATTTATTGTGTAACCACTTACTGTCTTTTCACTTCTTCTTATGCTGTCCAAACATTTCTTTGGTGTCTGCTCCTGTGGAAAGCTGCTTCTGTTTCTGAAATATTTGCAACGTGTTCAGAGCCAGACAGGCCATCAAGAACTGTTTATGCTTCTCCATCTTTCTTTGATTTTCCTCAGCCTCGGGTTGCAGTGCTCCCGTCTCATCCACATTCTCATGAGCATAACCCTGTTTTCCACTCCAATCTCCTTGTTTGAAAATGTTATTTGCATGGCCATTAGTCTTGCTTTGTGGTGGAAAAGAGAAGTAGAATTTCATCACCTCATCAGGGCAGATGTTGATCTCATCTCGTTATTTCACAGTGGTGTGGATAAACTGAGGGGTGACATAATATATTCATTAGGATGTAATTCGCTATTCAATCATTCTCATTCCCAGCCTGGATAATCAGCCCACTGGCCCACGGATGGGTCCACTCAATGCCAAACAAGGACAATTATCTGATTGGTTCTGCTCTCTCTGCCAAATGGATCTGACTGCAAAGAGGCCCGAGCTGTGTCAGCATCCCAACACACACGCACGCACACACACACACATACACACAATAACACTCTCACATTCTCTAGCAATCGTTCGAGGACACACACGGGCAAACTTGCAGATTTGTGTGAGACCAGGGTCTAATTCACACACCTGTGCCTCTGGCCTAATACGCTCACAGTGCCTTTTAGCTGCTTTTCCAATTGAGTACTCACTCTCAAACCAAATAACATCATTACTTGGTACAGTTATGCAATAATAGGTATCCCACCTTGAGTAACATCTCACTTATGTTTTATTAACCAAAGCCTCTGACCTGCAGCGGGTCAGATTCTCTTGGGGTCATGGCCCTTGCACTCTTTATTGCTAGGATTAATGAGCACTAAGGTTTCCTTGCCCTTAGGTCAGTCAGGAGGAGGGTTACTGCTGTCACAGAGGTGTGCTTGTTCTGTGTGTGTGTGTGTGTGTCCATGTGTGCAGCTCTAGTGATTCTTGTCTGGTCCCCTTCACCCTTACATTTGGGAGAGAGAGAGCGAGACGGTGGCGTTTTTCTCCCATGAGAGCTCATTATTGCTCTTTTTCCCATTAGCCCTATGGTAACCTTCCCCGGGCCTGGCGCTGTGTCACTGTCAATATCACTCCCAGTCGCCGCCCCAACCCGGCCACAATGCCAAATTACCCCCACCTTTGCAAAATGGCCTTTCCTCTCTGCGTGTGGTAAAGCTGCTTAGATTTCTTACAGCAGGGCCCTCTCAGAACTATTACCAGCCCATTTCCATTTGTTTCATTTTGCTCGTGCTGATGGTGGTGTGTGTTTGAAGTCATGGTAGACAGAAAGAGCTGCAGGTATAATATACAGTAATGTTCAGAGTAATACCACCTGTACTGTGTTGCATTCAAATTCACTGCAGGTAATGCTCATGTTGCTATAGTAACAGCTTGTTTTGACAAAAAAAATCAAACCAAAGCAGATTTGTTCCTTCCCACAATAGTCTTTTTTTTTTTTAGGCAAATTTTTTAACTAGAGATATTTGCTTGTGCGTGTATGTACAGTAGACTGAAGGGCCAATTTCTCAGGGGTGAAATTCTTCTCCCTGTACAGATTTAGTTTGTTGACAGCTGGGTCTACCAGTCCAAAGCACCCTCATACCATTGGGGTTTAGCTTAGTTGCATCTGATTTCCATGTTGAAAATAAACAAAGAAAGCAGAATAGAGACAATATGGCTCTCCTCAGCAGTTTCACACGCTTTGGTCTCCCTGTGCATCTGCTGGATTTGAGTGTGTGCGAGTGGATTTGCATGTCTTTCTAATGCTTTCCCTACCAGGTTTCCATTTTAGAGCGAGTGGATTTGCACAGGATGGCAACAGAGTATTCTACCAGTTGTTCTCATCTGACACGCAAATACACCACTGCTTTTACACACATCTGAACTTCACCATGTAGAGCTTTAACATTTCAATGTTTGTAAAATAAATAATAAAAAGAAATAGAGTTATAGCTTGTTTTATTTACATTATTCGGCATGTTTTCCGATCAATACTTTTTCCTGTGTTGAAGTGTTTGAAGTGAATCGTTTTGAGTTTTTGCTGCTGTGTGTGTGTATGTTCGTGCTCACCCTTGCGTATTTTTATTATGTGTGTTTGCAGTTGACGGAGGCTGGAGTGAGTGGAGCAAGTGGTCGGCGTGCGGCGCAGACTGTTCGATGTGGAGGAGCAGGGAGTGCACCCAGCCTTCACCTGGCACAGGGGGCAAAGACTGCCAGGGGCTCGACCTCCAGTCTCTCAACTGTACCAGCGAGCAGTGCCCACAGAGTGAGTGCACTACCACCCACATACTGCCAACCAAACTGTTCAACTCAGAACAATAGAAATAGATGCAGTAGAACAAGTTATTTTTAACCACTCTTCTGGAAAAGGATCAGTAGAATGCAGTTTAGTTACATATTTGCTTAACGGAGCTGATGAGCAGCAGATGAACATTTTGAAATCAATAAATGTGCTTATAATAACATTTGAGAGCTGTAGCTAGAGAAAACATGAAGCGTGACACTCTCAAGGCCAGGACCTCCATCAAACAGAACAACAAGAAGATCACAAACAATACATGGAGAACAGGTGTACAGCATTAGCATCAATTAGCCCCTGCACAAAGGCAGGTAGAGAGGAAGGGGAGGGAAGGCTTTTCCCTTCATGCTTTTTACTTTTGACTACAGTTTCCACTTCGACAAGTAGCCTGAGTGTCCTTCTCCTCTTTTTATCAGATCAAATAAACATTTTATGCCTCCTTATGGCATCAGCTTCCTGTGATAGATGTTGAGTATATCTTAGAATATGGTTCATAAAGGAAAGACGTCAATCCCATAAGACACTGACTGACTCTGCGGACCATTACTGGCCTGTCCCCAGCTGCGTGACCTTTTTAGACAATCGTTTCTAATAAATGCTGCT